TTTTACAATGGAGTCTTAATTTCCTCATTTTTGCAACATGTCAACATGACATGCTCTGATTACATTATTTAATTGTGAAAGCACAGTCATTTATGGGCTTACTCAAATGTAAGTCCCCTTGAGTTCTATGGGGCTCATTCCCATATAGGCAACATAAGATTTCAGCCTGAGGCAGGTAAATCAGCTTCCTAGTTTCTATTCAAGTCTTACAGGGTTGCAGTCTTTACATTTTCCAAAATAAGGTTCTAATTTTCATGATTGCGTTACTTGTCTGTTTAGTATAAAGTGCAGTTTTGTGTACTGCAGCAGTCCCTTCAGGCTTTCATCCCTTTCATGCTAAAAATGTAGCATAAACCTGTGCAATTGTAGAAATGTCAGCTGGTTTTGAAACACCAGCTTTAATTTCATCCATATTCATGCTAGAATTAACATTGGCCTTGCTCATTTGTCCCAAACAAAGTCATCATTTCAAATATATGAAATAAAACTTTTGGAAAGAACAGATTTTGGGTTTTTTCCTCACAAGCATACAAATCCTGTTATTTTCAAATGTAAGTTCCATTCATGTGTCTGTCTTTTAGATAACAAATCTCTTTCTGGAAAAAGAGTGAAAAATTGGAGAGTCTCGTATTCAGTTTGCTCAACCTCAAGTTTGAGTTGTTTTGCTTTTTAAAGATAAGGATTGTGTCAAAAGTGATTTTCTTAAGACTTTTCACATCATATTGAGGTGCCTTTTCTTAAGCTTTATTTTTCTTTCCTACCTGTGTTTATCAAAGAAGGGGACCCTTCCGAAAGATAACTAGTTGGAAAGAACCAGTGTGATGTATTGGTTATTATATTATTTCCTATCTATCTTGGGCCTTTCTAGTTGTCTTGACCACCATACTGACTGATAGCTGTGCTAATTAGGTGTAGGCCAAAATGTCTGAAGAGATTCATTTTAAGAAAGGCAGTATTGGGGGATAAAGTTAGAATTGGGGAGCATAGGGTGAAATGTTCGTGCTCCCTCCATTATGCAGTTTATGGGTTGACCCTATCTTAAGCAATATCCCTCAGCCTAGCTTCTGTCACAAGACTGTGGGAAGAATACAGTTGAGAATGGAAAGGATAATATGTACTACTTTGAGCTCCTTGGATTAAAGACAGATCAAAAATATATTAAATAAAATGAGCACAAATTGCCTTGATAGCTTGTCCCTGGCTGAGGGCAGGCAACCAGAGGTCAAAAATACAGCTAGGCTGATTAAAGAACGAGAGTCCAAAGTATTTGTTTCAAAGTGTTTCCCCCGGACCACAGTGCTGGTGAGGTAGATAGTTATTCAAGGAGCCTCAAACTGGAAGTCAAATACAGCCAGCTTGTCAAACAGAAACAGCACCTTGACACTCAATCTGTTGCTCTGCAGCAGAGCTTCTCACAGGGTCACAATCTCAAGGGGGTTGCAAAGTGTTTTCTGTGGGGCAGTAACCAAGCTCCATCACTGCAACTGTTTTCCGAGAATGACAACATGCGGAGGTGGTTATTGGAAACATTATGTTACCATCTGGATGCTTTGGGTGTTTGGGCAAGGAGGAGGCTAGGAGTGGAGTTTCGGACATAGCAGCTGCTCAGTAGGAGCACAGAACACCAAGTGCCTCAAGCAAAGGAGGAGGAGGAGGCATCCGGGGAGCTCCTATTGGAAATGCCAACACTGTTCTAGAAAGTATGGACAAGGGATGGACTATGTGTTCTTTAATGAGATGAAGAAGGTACATCTCACAGGCAGGTTGAGGCATGTTTGGGGAGCTATTTGTATATTGTTTAGAGGCCATGGGGTTCAAACCAGTTGCTGTCTGTTTTGCCACCAACGCACTTGGGAGTCCCTGGTTCTCATGCTTGAAATCCCAGGTCTGCCATTCTGCTTCTTTGCCCGCTTCTCCTCTTTCCTTGCTCCTTGCATTCTCCCCTACTGTGAAATGCTCCGTTCCCCTACCTTTGCACCCAAAGCACCCCGCAGGGCCATCCTTGATACGCTTTTTATCACTAGGATGAGTGGAGCCTGGATTGATAATAAATTCTTGCCTAACTAGTTTTCTGTGTGGCTCAGTTGCAGACAAGAAACTAGACACAAATATTAGGTTAGAATTATATATTGAAAACTCTGTTTTTAGCATGTTTTATTTACCCTTGTACATGACTTACAATGTTGCAAGAGGGTCACAGGTTACTTGGGTATTATAAAATAGTCAAAACTTGTAAGAAGTTAGAAAACACTGCTCTATAGGGAAATCCAGGGATGTCCAACCTGCTAGTCACTGCATGTGGGCCTCCCCAGCATTGGTTGAGTGGTCCCCAAGTCTCCTGCCAGTGTCAGATTTCTTCCCCTACCCTCCCTGAATCAGCACCACCATCATAGTGTTAAAATAGCGATGCTGGTTGAGCATGCAGGGATGGGGAGGAGCCCAAAATGGATTCCTCTCCAGATTAGAGCCTGTACTACTACATTCTCACCAGTGCCAGCATATCTTTCTAAATTATCTTACATTGCACTGCTGCAGACATCAGGGAACTGGGTTCTTCACAGATCCACCTAACAGCAGCTATTTGTTTATTTACAGGATTCATATCCTGCCTTTCTCCCACTAGTGGGACTCCGTTGGAAGAGACTCTTCTGAAATTAAAGAATGTGGGATTAAGCTGTGATCCTTTACCCAGATATGTGGGGGTGAACTCCACTGAAGTGAGACTTACATCTGACCAGAGATGTTAATGGAGTAATTGTTTTCCCCTAAACTGTTCCCATTGCACTCTGCTCCTGTGCAATGTGAAAACTCATCCTAAAGAATTACGTTATAGTGTCTGAACTACAGTCAACTGAAGTTGCTTTCAATTTAGCGGCATATAGTTTGTTCTTCTAATTCTCAAGGGCTTAGAAGTGCACATTCAAAGATGATTAATATTACCAAAGCATGACCTTCCCTCTTTAGAGACCTAGGGAGAGGCTCTGTTTTTGTTTTGCTTATATGAAAGGAAAAAAAGCTTATATTTTCTTCCCACAGTTGGGAAAATGCTATAGCCACATGCTGTGAGGAACAGTACAGAGGCGGATTTTGAAAGGCAAATGAAGAGGAGTTGAAAGTGCTAATGAAATGTGTTTTCCTTTCCCAAACTTGTATTTGAATATTGGCAAACTCCCAGCATTGGTGCATTGGCTTGTATAGACTTGCACCATACAGTATTCTGTCGTGCATCCAGCTGTCAGTCTTTGGTCCTCAGTTTATTGACCTCCACAACTCAGTGCAAGAGTTATTCCATTATTGTTTTTGCTACTCCCCAAATGCCAGTATTATAGACCAGGGATAGGGCTCATGGCCCTTCAAGATGTTGCTGGCCTCTAACTCCCATCATATCTGACCCGTGCTAGCTGAGGCTGATTGGAGCTGGAATCCAACATAATCCAAAGGATCACAGGTTGCCTAATTCTGCAAGAGAAGATAACATCATGTAGGCAAGCATTAAGGTTTGGAAACCATCCATACCACTCTTCCCTAACTGGGTGGCCCCCATCATCCTCAGACAGTATGGCCATTGATACCTGGCTGAGGATTATGAAAGGTGTAGTCTAACAGAACTAGAGATTGTATTCTTGAAGAACTAGAGGTTATTTGGTTGGAAAAGTCTGCTCTGTTTTATTTTTAGTTTTGTATTCTAGCCCAAGCTTGGATGGTAGGGACAGTCCTTCCATGATGTATTACAGCAGAATCATTCTTTGTGTCAGCTGTAACTTACTCTGTAAGCCTGTGGTTACCCAGTTTCCCAGTGAAGAACCGCTGCAGTTTTTATGCAGCACAATATTTTGCATGTCTGTTCTAAAGCTCCACTGAATTCGGTGGTACTTCCTCCTTCAGAAGCACGGATCTGAGAATGGAATCTCAAGAATGCTATTAGTTGTGCAGGCATTAAATATGACAAATGCATGAGGGTCTTTCAAGGCAATTTTTGTGAAGAAAAAGACATTCAGGCACTCTAGAAAAGACCACTCATACATATCCTTTAGGGAATGATTGGATTCACAAATAATTCAATAAAAATAGTAACTAGTGTTAAAGGCAGCTGTATTTCTCTTTAAATACCATGATAGTGCAGAAACAAAAGGAGGAATATAGGTAATGCAGTTGTCTGAGATTATTTGAAACAAGAAAGAAAGGAGTCAAACTGGAGCAGGCCAATAAATTTAGTAGGAAAAGAATCAGACACATGACAATGTGGGAGGGAAAGAACAAAGGTAAAACTAAAAATATTAGGCAGAGAGAGCAGCTAGAATTGCACATGTGGAGAAAAATGGATTGTGAAATGCAACGTGAGACGTTTGTTGTAAGGAAGTCTTCAATTTTGGGTGCTGTGAAATGTTGCTGGCCATCTCAAAGACCTTTATGAGCCTGCGTGGGTATCAAGATCATTAGAAGTCTTTCTGTCAGTCCCACCACTGTTTCACACACGTTTGGTGGAGACATGGTGGAGAGCATTCTCTCTTGCTGCTCCCAGACTTTGGAACTCCCTACCACGGGAGGCGAGGGAGGTCACATCTTTGCTGTCCTTCAACAATCAGGCAAAGACCTTTCGCTTTGTTTGTATACTTACTGTTTGTAGCTTTTAAATATTGTCTTTTAATGATGTAAGCTGCCTTGGGTCCTTCTTAAGGAAAAAAGCAGAGCAAAAATATTTTAATTAAAATAAATGTTTGGCAACATTCTGTGCAAAGGACGATTGGAGATGAGGGAGTAGAATGGGAATTGGAAGAGGGTTAATTATAAAGAATGACCAGTAAATAATTGAGGTGCATAGATATAAAAAACAAACAAAATATGACCCTGGACAAGAGACAGTTATTTTTTTCCTGTTGAACAGGAAAGGATAGGAGAGAGAACCTAAGAGATCTGCCGAACATGCATGTCACCCCTCTCCCCATCGTTTTCTGTTCTGCAGAGTTTTCATTTTACTCAATCTGTTCTTTCCATTTCAGGTGCGTGGCAATAAAGGTGAAGTGCTTTATATCCTGGATGCCAGCAATCCAAGGCATTCTAATTGGCTGCGTTTTGTACATGAAGCACCATCTCAGGAACAGAAAAACTTGGCTGCTATCCAGGTAAATTTGCTGAAAGTTTGTATTATCCTTACAATTCAGTTTTATCCATCTACTCAGTGTGTTTTGCTGGGAAGTCTCATCAGTTTCAAAGACCCTTATCTCAAGTAAGTGAATAAAGGCTAGGAGGCATAGTTTAAGACTTAGAGCAGAGATGAGGAACCTTTGATCCTCCAGGTGTTTTAGACTTCAGTTCCCAAAAGCTCCAGCCACCAGAGTCGGTGTCAAGAGATTGTGGGAATTGTACCCCAGAACATCTGGAGAGCAAAGGTTCTATGCTTTCTCTTTAAATAAAGTTGCTATTTGTCTCATTTTTCCCCTAGAATTTATAAAACCAATATAAGTTGAACACATCTCATTGATAATTGTTTTTTCCTCTGTGCACCTTTGGGAACATTGTATGTAAAAACACATAACAGGAGACACCGTCATTTCAGTTACCCAGATTTGAACACATCTCATTGATAATTGTTTTTTTCCTCTGTGCAGCTTTGGGAACATTGTGTGAAAAAAGACATAACAGGAGACACCTTCATTTCAATCACCCAGAGAAGGACAAGGTTTCCTTCTAGGCCTTCATTTTATGCTGCAGTACTTCCTGGGAATGGACGTCTCATTGTCCTTTATGCATCTTATGAAGAACCACTTAGAAGTA